AATTGTTTTGGTAATTTTGTACAGAATTCACTTTTTTTTTGTTTGTTTTTTTTTGAGTTGGAGTCTTACTCTGTTGCCAAGGCTGCTTTGCAGTGGCATGCTCACAGCCACCGCAGCCTCAACCTGCTGGGCTCAGATGATCCTTCCGCCTGAGCCTTCCAAGTAGCTGGAACTACAGGCACACGCCATCATGTCCGGCTAATTTTTTTGATTTATTGTAGAGATGAGGTCTCGCCAAGTTGCTCAGGCTGGTCTTGAACCCGTGGACTCCCAAAGTGCTGGGATTATAGGCATGAGCCACCATGCCCAGCCTTAGAATTCACTCTTTTTTTTTTTTTTGAGTTGGAGTCTCACTCTGTCGCCCAGACTGGAGTGCAGTGGCCGCTCCCGGCCACCGCAGCCTTGACCTGCTGGGCTCCGGAGATCCTTCCACCTCAGCCTTCCAAGTGGCCGGAATTACAGGCATGCGCTACCACGCCCAGCTGATTTTTTGATTTATTGTAGAGATGAGGTCTTGCCGCCCAAGCAGGTCTCAAACCCGCGGGCTCAGGCAATCCACTCACCTCAGCCTCCCAAAGGTGCGGGGATTACAGGCTGAGCCACCGAGCCCGGCTAGAATTCACTCTTTAAGTAAACTATTTTAATAGTTTAAGGATGCCCTTTTGGACACAGTCACTAAGACTTTGTCTAGTAGCATAAATAAGACATATTCAGATAAGATAGATGAACTGGTAGAATATAGGCTATGAGGGCAGAGTCATTGTTTTGGTCATCCACTGTGTCCCCAAGCTCTAGAATAATGCAGTCAGTATTTGTTAACGAGTTAATATTTATTAATCAGGGCCACATTTATGACTGTTTTTGCCAACAAAAAGAAAAATATGTTTAATTAGGATAGAAATTCCATTTATTTATTTATTTATTTGAGTTGGAGTCTCACTCTGTCACCCAAGTATTACAGTTGTGAGCCACCACGCCTGGCCTCATTAATTCATTTTCATCAGGTCTACCTATCAAGAAAAAAATTTATTGTGTACACTTATAGTCCCAGCTACTTGGGAGGCTGAAGCAGGAGGTTCACCTGAGCTCAGGAGTTTAAGGCACTGAACTATGATCACACTGCTGCTCTCTGGCCTGGGCAACAAGGGTGAAACCCTGTCTCTTTTAAAAAAATAAGAAGAGGGGTTGGGGGGGAAAATAAAAAATTGTGTATATTGAATTTCTGCTTATGTATATTGCATCTAGATTTATAGTTCTAGGCCAGGCTTGGTGGCTCACGCCTATATATTTTTTTTCTTTTCCTTTTTTTTTTTAACATATGACAAACAAGGGCCTGTCCCTGAGGCACCCATCCAAGAGGAGGGCCAGTCACAGGGGCAACCATTAGGAAGACTCAGTCACTGGGGTTCCGATCACAGAGGAGTGACAGTAACTGGGCAGCCGTCACACAGGAGGAAAATTCACTGTGGTGCCCATTATAGATAAGGGCTAGTCACTAGGGTACTTATCACAGAGGAGGCACAGTCACTTTGGGAGACTGAGGTGGAAGGATTGCTTGAGTCTGAGAATTCAAAACCAGCCTGGGCAACATAGTAAGATCTCGTTTCTACAAAAATAAAAAAACTGGACCGGGCTCAGTGGCTCACCCTGTAATCCCAGCACTTTGGGAGGCCAAGGCAAGCAGTGAGCCCACGGGTTCGAGACCAGCCCAGTCAACTTGGCAAGACCTCGTCTCTACAATAAATAAAAAACTAGCTGGGCATAGTAGCATGCACCTGTAATTCTGGCTACTTGGAAGACTGAGGTGGAAGGATTGCTGGAGCCCAGCAGGTCGACACTGGAGTGGCCATGAGCATGCCACTGCACTCCAGCCTGGGCAACAGAGTGAGACTCCAACTCAGAAAAAAAAAACAAACTTAGCTGGGCATGGTGGCACAGGCATGTAGTCCCAGCTACTCAGGAGGCTGAGGAGGAAGTCTTACTTGAGCCCAGAAGTTCAAGGCTGTGGTGAACTGTGATTGTGCCACTGCATTCCAGTCTGGGTAACAAAGTAAGACCCCAACTCAAAAAATAATAAATGTATAGCTCCAGGAAAGCCATAAGACCTCCTTAAGCTAATATCTAATTTCCATTCACAACAACGCAGTCCTCATTGGTTAATTTTTGCTTGCCCTATTGAAGATTATTAATCCACACTCAGGTTGCTCAAGGGTTCTCAGAATGTAGTCCTTAGTCAGCAGTATTAGCATTACTTGGGAACTTGCTAGAAATGCAAATTGTCTGGCCCCATTCCAGGTCTACTGAATAAGAAATAATCAGAGACTCTGGAGATAGGATCCCACAAACTGTTTTAACAATTTTTCCAGGTAATCTGATGATTGCTGAAGTTTTGCGACATGGTCACAATTCCTAGCCTCTCTTGAATCACCACCCTTTTAAATGAGAGACTGACAGACTCCTTTGAGGTGACAGAGCTGAGTTTTTCAAAATTACATGTTAAGAATAACTTGGGGTATTTGTTAAATATACAAATTACCTGGTTCTTTCCTGAAAATTGTAATTCATTGAGTCTGGTTTATGCCTAAGAATTTGTTTTTTAACAGGTATTCTTAAACTTTAAGGAAGTTTTAAGAAACACTATGAGAGAGGATACTATTTCCAGCCAACTTTTTCCAAACTGGAAATTGAAAATATCATGTCCTGCTTCTGGAGCCTAAGCAGAGATTCCCAGTCTTTTTTGTGAGCACTGCTGAGAGAAAAGCTAGAATAACTCTTTGTTTCTTTGTTCTACTACCAAAAAGATAATCTCCATTTCTGATAGTAGAGTAGATCAGTATTTCTTGAAATAAAACTAGAAAACTTGTGCAGTATAGTATTTAAGCCCATTGTATCTTGGTTTTTTACCCAATATCCATGATTTAGAAAAAATTTATATGTCCTCATTCTTGTTTTATTTGGTCAGGATCCTAAGGTAACACTCTATCTTCACTCCATTTCCTTATCCCCATGATAGATCATGAACCTAGAACATAAAGAATTAAATAGCACATAAGGGAGTCACTGTTCTTTTGGATTATGATTTTAGGTGACATTAATGTGAAAACAATATTTGGGTTAAAGTGATGATACATGATTCTCTCTTTGTTTAGATTGAGGCTAAAAGCTTCATTCAGTAACATTTATTCAGAATGTACTAGGTAGGTAGAGAGGCCCAGTCTTTTCCCTGAAAGAATTTGTAGTCTAATAAAGAATGGCCAAGTAGCTCCTCACAAGTGCCATAAAAAGACCCAAACCATGTTTTCTGAAAGTGCAGAAGAGGGAGACTCTTATCTGCCTAAGAAGTGCAGGAAAGCTTTTTTAAAAATGTAGGCATGCCAGGCGCGGTGGCGCACACTTATAATCCCAGCACTTTGGTAGGTGGAGATGAGAGGATTGTCTGAGCCCAGGGGTTCAAGACTGGCCTGGGCAACTTGGCGAGACCTTGTCTCTGCATTAAATCAAGAAAAATTAGCCAAGCATAGTGGCACACACACCTGTAGTTCCAGCTACTTGGAAGGCTGAGGAGGAAAGATCACCTGAGCCCAGCAGGGCGAGGCTGTGGTGGCTATGAGTGTGCCACTGTATTCCAGCCTTGGTAACAGAATGAGACTCCAACTCAAAAAAAAAAAAAAAAAAAAGTGTAGGCATTTATTTGAGTCTTGATAGATAAATAAAGCTACCTTTGAAGAAATGGGATCCCATTATTGTACTCTTTTGTTTTTGTTTTTGGTTTGTTTTTGAGTTGGAGTCTCACTCCATTGCCCAGGCTGGAGTGCAGTGGCACACAGTTTCCCGGCCACCCCAATGTCAACCTGCTGGGCTCCGGCGATCCTTCCGCCTCAGCTGTCCAAGTGGCCAGAACTACAGGTGTGTGCTACCATGCCCAGCTAATTTTTTGATTTATCGTAGAGACAAGGCCTTGCCAAGTTGCCTGGGCTGGTCTCGAACCCATGGGCTCAGGCAATCCACTTGCCTTGGCCTCCCAGAGTGCTGGGATTACAGGCTGAGCAACCTTGAACATTCTTGTCTTAGGTGGCAGTTACAAAGGTGAGAAAATATATGAATTCTTCTATGAAAACAGATAATACCTTGTTTTCCTTTTTAAACACAAAGAAAAAAAATCATTTGAGGAATAAGATGAATTAAGGTATTAATCATCATACTATATACATAAATGTCACATTTTACTGAATTTTAACTAGTTACTAGCAAGAAAAAAAGAGGAGACTAGGAGAAATGAAATATGCTTGTTTGCTTTTCATGAACTTTAGAGAACCTTACTTTAAAATATTTTATTCCCATATAGGAAATTTATAGTTCTTATAGATTAAATTAAGCTTTGAGTGGTTCATTGTTTTTGTTTGTACCAGTTCTGCCATATTGTCCTTGGTTTTTTTTGTTGTTTTTTTGTTTGTTTGTTTGTTTGTTTTTTGAGTTGGAGTCTCACTCAATCGCCCAGACTGGAGTGCAGTGGCCGCTCCCAGCCACCGCAGCCTCGCCTGCTGGGCTCCAGCGATCCTTCCGCCTCAGCCTTCCGAGTAGCCGGAATTACAGGTGCGCACTACCACACCCAGCTTATTTTTTGATTTTATTGTAGAGATGAGGTCTCGCCTGCTCAGGCGGGTCTTGAACCCATGGGCTCAGGCAATCCACTCACCTCAGCCTCCCAAAGGCGTGGGATTACAGGCTGAGCCACCGAGCCTGGCTGTCCTTGGTTTTTCCAGGAGAATATTACTTCCTTATTTTTGGAAATTTCTCATTCTGGTTAAGAATAGATTGATTTATCCTGAAGACTTGCCAGGTATATCTACTTTCAAGTAGTTGCTACTGTCATTTCTCTGTCTATAGAGACAGAAGTTTACCTAAACTTCTCTCGAGGGAAATTATATTCTTTGGCCCTGAAACCATCTCATATGCCTGAGTTTCATGTGTGACCTAAAAATATCCTTCCTCTCTTCTAGATATGGCCTCTCTGGCAGTGATGTCTTGGATAATGTAGCATATGCTCGAGGGTTCAACACAGACCACCAGACCCAGCTCCTTTATCAAGCATCAGCCATGATGGTAGAATCTAGGTATGTGCTCAGTACAAACACTAAATATCTTTCTAGAGTCCTTACCTGAATCTTGTAATAACTGTTTGACCAGATTGATTGTAAGTAGCTTGAAAAGAAATGGGGAGATTTAATTCCTATCTTGACACTCTTGCTTTATGGTTTAGGTTATCACTATTAAAAATGGAGACTTCGTGAGGCACAGTGTCTCAGGCAGAGGTGGTAGGATTGCTTGAATCTAGGAGTTCAAGACCAGCCCGGGCAACATAGCAAGATCTCATCACTACAAAAAAATTTTTTTTAGATTAGCCGGGTGTGGTAGCTCGCACCTGTAGTCCCAAGCTACTCATTGGGAGGCTGATGCAGGAGAATTATTTGAGCCCTGGAGTTGGAGGCTGTGATGAGCTGTGATCATGCCACTGCACTCCAGCCTGGGCAATAGAGTAAGACTTTGACTCAAAAAAATAAAGTAAAAATGGAGACATCTACCTGAATTTACTGGAAATCTTACCTTGTTAAGTGGTGCCTCAGATGTGAATGCTCTACAAATATTTTAATAAGAATCTATATAATAGTAAAACTATGAATATGAGATTTTAGGATAGTGAAGAAGGGAATAGAATTCGACACAGGCTAGAAATTCTTCAGAGAGTCCTTGTTTCCTGTAGGTATGCACTGCTTATTGTAGACAGTGCCACCGCCCTCTACAGAACAGACTACTCAGGTCGAGGTGAACTCTCAGCCAGGCAGATGCACTTGGCCAGGTTTCTGAGGATGCTTCTGCGACTTGCTGATGAGGTGAGTTGTGGGGTAGGAACAGAGAGTGCTTATTTTCCATGACCACGAATCCCAGGAGCTAGAAGGCCAAGACATCAGTGCCTTATCAAGCTATCAGAAGAGAGAGAGAGAGAGATTAATCATCCATTGCTTTGTGGGGGAAAGCATTGGCAGCATTAAGCCTCTTGGAAACTGATGTTTATTCTTTTCCCATTAGTTTGGTGTAGCAGTGGTCATCACTAACCAGGTGGTAGCCCAAGTGGATGGAGCAGCAATGTTTGCTGCAGATCCCAAAAAACCTATTGGAGGAAACATCATTGCCCATGCATCAACAACCAGGTATGATGATGGGATAGATGCTTCTTTCTGGAATGTCATATTAACTGTGAAGAAGATATCACATTTCCCTTTCAGTCCTCTTAAAGCTACTGTGGTGTAGTTAGACACTTTGGAACTCTTGCAAAATCTAATTGTCATGCTCTAGTTTGTATAGGTGTTTGCTTTTAGTTCATAAAAGAATTCAAAACCCACAAGTGTGGAAGAATGGACATGAATACTTTATATGCCTTTCTCTGGTTATTTAAAAACAAAAATTCGTTTAAATGTGGGCAATCCACTGAGAGGGGGCATTGCAAAAATGGATTCCTCCAGGTTGGAAGTGCATTAAAGGATACAGTAGAGAGAGATCCCCAGAGTCCTTCTAGGAAGTAGATATGTCTAAAAAATGTTAAACATAAATCAGGAGTGAAATTGTTTAACTATAATGATTTGATGCTTTTGATCTGTTTTTTGGAGTCAGACTGTACCTGAGGAAAGGAAGAGGGGAGACCAGAATCTGCAAAATCTACGACTCTCCCTGTCTTCCTGAAGCTGAAGCTATGTTTGCCATCAATGCAGATGGAGTGGGAGATGCCAAGGACTGAATCATTCATTTTTTCCTGCATAAACCTTAAGTGCTGTGCCTAATGGAGAGCACTCCTCCCTGGGGTTCTTCACAGGCCCCTTCCTGTTGAGACTGCCAGGAAGAGGCTTCCGGGAAAACAGCTATTGTATCAGCTTTTCTGATGGTATAAACAGGAGACCAGTCAGTAATCACGACTGATCTGAAATGTTTCTTCCTTCTGGAACACATTGATCTCTGATTTCTTTGGTTTTGGAAAAGAGGTATGAAATACCTTTGACATAGTGCCTTGGGATTGACTTGGGTCTAACAGCTGTCTGTTGGACAAGCTTACATCTCCAAGAGAACTAAAACTGGAGAGACCCGACCCTTCTCTCACTACTGAATAATGATAAAATAAAATGCCTGAGCTGTGTAGCAAAAGGAATGGGTCCCCGCACAAGTTCTTCTCTGTCAGTACAATGCTCCCATCAATCACAAGCAGGTTTTTAAGTTGTATACCTGAATGCTCTTACATGAGAATTTGGTTTTGATTAAGGAGTCTTGTATGAGCCCTGTTGGGCTGTCAGCCCTTCACCATCTAATCGCTTGGTCTTTTACTGCTAAGACTTAACTCAAGATAATTCTGGAGTTTTACGCATTTCAGAGGCTAAGTAACAGATCAATTGTGAGGCCACTAATAAAGTAGTTATTTGTAGTAAATGTGGTATTTATAGTAGTTGCTCTAATGTGAGCTGAATATTCCAAGATACTCTCCATAACTTTTTGGCACTGGGTAGGGGCAATCAGTTTCTCTTGCTTTAAGATTTGAAAACTGAAAATCTGAAAGTCCTACATTCAAATGATTGTACTTAGCTGTCCTTCAACCTAATGGAAAATATAAGATATACCAAGGTTTTCCTGTGCCCTTTACTTGCCATAAGTCTTGTGTTGTAGAAGTCTAATACTTGCCTGGATTATTCTACTTTAGGATTTAGGATACTTTTCTTTCTCTTCAAACTTCTACTTGGGATGAGTTTAAGTTTTTCCTTTACCTTATTTCCCCCATTTTCCTTTTGTCAGATCTACTATCTTTACTAGTTAGGACTTCCAATCCAGGTTTTACCCAAAATGTTCAGTGACCATCCAAAAACTTTTTGTTCCTGGTTTTCTTTTTCTTTTTTTTGAGTTGGAGTCTCCCTCTGTTGCCAGGCTGGAGTGCATTGGCACACTCATGGCCACCGTAGCCTCGACCAGCTGGGCTCAGACTATCCTTCTGCCTCAGCCTTCCTAACAGCTGGAACTACAGGCACACACTACTACTCCCGGCTTATTTTTTTGACTTATTGTAGAGATGAGGTCTCACCATGTTGCCCAGGCTGGTCTCGAACCCCTAAGCTCAGGCAATCCTCTCGCCTAGGCCTTCTGAAGTGCTAGAATTACAGACTTGAGTCACCGCACCCAGTCCCTGGTTGATTTTTTAAAATAAACATTTTATACTGTATATTTAAGGTATAAGACATAAGATTCACATACATATATAAGATAGTTTCTATAGTGGAATGGTCTTCAGTGGCCTAGGACACTAATCTCCTTGCCAGGAAGAACACAGTCGTCGGCTCCCTCAGCCTAGGCTGGCTTAGGTGCCATTTCCTCTGAATGCTCATGTTATTGGTTATTGGTGATTGGGCCCAGTCCTGTTTGACCCTGGTTGTTGTCAATATTAAGAATATTCCATGTTCCTAAAGATTTAAAAAGTCCCTTTAAATCCCTCTATTAACACCTTGATCTTTTGGTGGCAGGTCTGTCACCTGAGCTGGCTAGGAAAAAACTGCTACAGTTTTGCTTGGAAGTCCTCTCAGTGCCACTCTGGAGGATACCCTCCATAGCTTCATAAGATCTCAGGAAGGGAGGGGCAAGTGGCAGGCAAAAATAACAGGGTACCCTTATTTTTCCTAAGGACCATTATTGGGGCCCTTATGGCAGGTCCTATGGGTAGGGTAATTTTGTTTGCCTGTTTTTTTTGTTGTTGGAGTTTCACTCTTACCAGGCTCGAGTGCACTGGTATGCCCATGGCTCACCACAATGTTCTGCCTCAGCCTCCCGAGTAGCTGGAACTACAGGCACATGCACCATGCGCGGCTAATTTTTTGTGGAGACGAGGTCTTGCTATGTTGCCCAGGCTGGTCTTAAACTCCTGGGCTCAAGCAGTCCTCTCATCTTGGCCTCCCAAAGTGCAGGAATTATAGACATGAACCACCACACCCAGCCTGTTTGCTGTTCTGTGGGAAAATCAGGATCACCTGGAGGCCTTATCAGATTCTCAGACCCACTTCAAGTTTTAAACAAAATAAAAAAATACTTTTATCATCACAATTGAGTATCTCAGGTCTTCTCTTTCTTCACAAAATAAACCTGGGATGATATATAAAGCCACTATGATAGAGTCTGGGGTGAAGGTTTGGTTCTTACATAAAAGCACCTCGGTCTTATAGTCCTAAAAGGTACTTAAGTGACTCTGACCTAAAAACTTATCTTTTTCTTCTAGGTAGAATTAGGGTTTGTGCTAGTGGCCTTAAGATTAAGCATGAGAGGCAGGGAGTACCTGCTTAGTTGAAATAGGCCTTGTGGCTAAAAATAAGCTCTCTGCTTGTATTTTACATTAAATTAAAATTTTCACTGAAAAGAACATTAATCAGAGAGCTTATTCTAAAGTATTTGGTGCCCTAGTTTTCTACCTTTTTCTGCAGTAGCCTATGTAGGAGGAAACAATTAGTCAGATGTCATGTAAGGATAAAGAGCTAATAACTGAGGCAGAAAGGAGAACAATCACTTCTGATCAACTTTATTTCACGTTTGTACCAAAATATATTCCAGACAACTCTTCAGGCGTCTTTTGTAGCATCACAAATCCCATACCACTGCTGTCATTCCAAAAGCTGCTAGGACTCTGGAAGTCAACTGATCCAGTCCCTCCAGGAATACAAGTAGAATCCACACGATAAGTGGTAAGAGGGCAACATCTTTGGGCTGCTCTGACCCCTCCTTTTACCCTGGTAAGTAGGTAGGGTGTGATTTTAGGACTATGTGTGTATGTGTGTGTGGAGAGATATATATCTACACACATACATGTTGAATATTAGTGAAAAAGATTAAAGTGACACGTTCTGTGCTTTGTTCATGTAGCTTTTTGAAGTTCATCCATCTCACCAGCATTGCAAAGGCAGTGCTGCTACTTCATCCTCTCATCTCCAGCAGGCTTCAGGGCTTCCCCCCACACTTAACCCTAGGGCAGGAGCTAGACTAGTCTTGATTTTTTTAAGAAATCATTTAAGGGGGAAAACAACACAAATCCAGGCCACAAAAACTTCCCCAATTTTAGATTAAGTAAGAGATTAAACTGATGGACAACAGACAAGAAAGAAGTTGGGGAATAGTACTGGATAGCAATCAAACCCAGGAGTCAGGCTCTAAACCAGACTTGCTTGGTTTCCTGATCTCAGGAGGGTCTGAGGAAAAAAAACCTTGATTTGCCCCCACCCTTAAGCAGTGGTTTCAGTTAAGTCATGGAAGCCACTGAAATGTGATTATTCTTCTAAAAGTACTTCCAATTCTTCCAGATCCTTCTGGAGAGCCAAATCCTAGGGAGATAAAGAGAACAAATCTAGGACTCAGAAATTCAGCCAACATTTTCCCAAACCAGTGAAACCAGAGAAGTGGCCCCTTTGCTTCCTTCCTGAACTCCATTATAGTCTTTCTCCTACTTCTCCAGGATAGCCTGTAACCTCGGAAATCTGTCTCTTCCCCCTTAGAAGGGCTTCCATGCAAAGGGCAAACTCTTCTTTCATAGGGAAATAAAATCTTAAGGGAAGATGTTCTTTCCTTAAAAAGGTCACATGTCTCAGTGATGAAATGTGATATTTAAAAAGCTTTTATAAAGTATTACCTCCTTTGTGACATCTGGCATCTCCAGGGCTAACTTCATCCACCATGTAGCTTCAGAGTTTTTCCCTAGTTCTCTGTAGCACTGAGAAAAGATAATGATGAGAATGTGGAGAAATAATATCAGGAAACTAGAGGGGGATGAGTATGTGAGCACTTAAAGGAATTTCCAGAAATATTAACAAATATTTTCATCTATGTTGAAGTAGACAGGTGAGTTTACCTTGGAAATATATACCCTTCCTGCTTTGGAAAATCCTGGCTGTAGTTCTTCAGCCTGGAGAAAGGAAGATATTTCAGTAAGAGTGTCCCAAATTCAAGTCAAGCTTAAGTTTATTATATAGAGGTTTCTAGGCAGCACTCTTGCTGCTGTCCTGCCCGTTGTGCCCTTCACAATGTATATTCTCTTTAATAAATCTACCTTTAATTGAAAAAATAAATTTTTTTTAAGCTGGAGTCTCTGTCCAGGCAGGAATGCAGTGGCACGCTTTCGTCGACCTCCTGGGCTCCAGTGATCCTTCTGCCTCAGCCTTCCAAGTAGCCAGAACTACAGGCACACACTACCATACCCGGCTAATTTTTGATTTATTGTAGAGACGAGGTCTCACCAAGCTACCTGGGCCGCCCGGGTTGGTCTTGAACCCACGGGCTCCCAAAGTGTTGGGATTACAGGCTAAGTCACCAAACCTGTCCGAAAAAAAATTTTTTTTTTTTAAATAGAGGTTTCTGGTCCGCAACCTGGTGATTGATTGATTGGGTCTGGGTATCCAGATTTATATTTTATTTTTCTTTCTTTTAAAGATGTGGGGTACAATTCAGGGTTAGGTATACAAATGTTCATTATGCAAATACCCTTGTTGATGAAGTGTGCCCCTCCCTCCCCTGGCAGTTTCCCTCAACTGCCAATCCCACCCCCTCACTCCTGGCAGTTTCCCACTACTGCCTGTATTTTATTTTTCAAGAAGAAAAAATCTATTTTTTGATAAGGTCTCTAGGTGATTCTGATTTGTCCACAGAATAGGCAAGCAAAATTTCCCCTACAAGAAGCCCCCCTACCAGAAGTCTCTCCCATAGGCACCCCAATAATGTCCTTCCCTCCCTTCCCTGATACCTTCAGGAAGCTCTGGAGGGCATCTTCCACAGTGGCACTGAGAGGACTGTCAAGCAAGGCTGTAGCAGTTTTTTTTTCTAGCCAGGTCAGGTGAGAGACCTGCCACCAAAAGATCAAGGTGTGAATAAAAGGTTTTAAAGCTTTTGTTTATCTTTCGGAACACTGAATATTCTAACACTGAAAACAGTCAAACAGGGCTGGGCCAAATTACCAATAACATGGGCATTCAGAGGAAATGGCACCTGAGCCAGTCTAGGCTGAGGGAGCTGAGGACCTTGTTCTTCCTGGTAAGGAGATCAGTGTCATCAGATATTTAGAACCATTATATCAAGCCCTGGAATGCACCTTACCTGGTAGCACCACCTGCCAAGAAGAAAGTGAGCCATGGCGTTTTCTGGCTGCAGAGCAATGGCTTTCTCTACATGCTCCTGAGGGGAAAACGTAAATATAAACGAACATCAGACACTAGAGTTGCTGAGAGACGAAAGGCAAGTCACTGAGGCTGTGGGAAAGCCCTTCTAAGGGAACTGAGAAGGAGCAGGGAATCTGGAATAGGCCGGCACAAGGGAAGGAGAAGCCTGTCCTCACCTTGAAGCTAAAGCCACTCTGGAGGCGCCTCTGGATGCCCTCATGCTCAGCCAGCTGACCACAAAGCACTGCATACCTAAGGGGGAAGCGGCAAGCTCAGGGACGAGGAGTGGGTACCATCACTGGAAGAAAAGGATATCCCACCCAGAGCCCACACTACACCATCCCCTGCCCTTCTACTCTCAACTAGAGCTAAAGATAGGTCGCTCTCATCAGTATATAATTCCCTCTCTTCACAGACCTGTCGCCCAATTTAGTATTGCTAACAGTGGCAGGCTTACAGTTTTCTAAAGGGACAAAAAAAGCTGGGTCCCCCGCAGTAAATCTGTCCCTTATATTAAGAATATTTAGGCAGCCAGGCTCGGTGGCTCAGCCTGTAATCCTGTGCCTTGGGAGGCTGAGGTGATGGATTGCCTGAGCCTGCGGGTTCGAGACCCACCTGGGCAACTTGGCGAGACCTCATCTCTACAATAAATCAAAAACCAGCTGGGCGTGGTAGCACGTGCCTGTAATTCCAGCTACTCGGAAGGCTGAGGTGGAAGGATTGTCGGAGCCCAGCAGGTCGAGGCTGCAGTGGCCGGGAGCGGCCACTGCACTCCAGTCTGGGTGACGGAGTTAGACTCCAACTAAAAAAAAAAAAAACAGCCAGGCTCGGTGGCTCAGCCTATAATCCCGCGCCTTTGGGAGGCTGAGATGAGTGGATTGCCTGAGCCCGCGGGTTTGAGACCCTCCTGGGCAGCGAGACCTCATCTCTATAATAAATAAAAAAATCAGCCAGGTGTGGTAGCGCATGCCTATAATTCCGGCTACTCGGAAGGCTGAGGCGGAAGGATCGC